TAGCAGCAAACCTAGCAATTGATTCTATATAATCTTTCCACTTCACGTTGGCGGGAAAGAAGGCGCAACGAGTCACTCTTTTGGACGTTAGAATCAATCATGGTGATGAAAGGCAGAATGGGGTCTCGCAGAAGATTCGTAGAGGACATTATATATATATATATATATATACTAGCAGCATGGTCCGGCGTTGCCCGTGCTACATGCCTTACTTCTTGCCTATCTCACACTGCGAATTTTTTCTAAGCTCTATACTAAACATTAAATCTGTTACGAAAAAAGAACTAAACAAAATGAACACAAAACAATCAGCTTTAAAAAAGGACTCGTAACTGGAAAAACTGAATGAAAAAAAGAATGTTAACAACAAATACTTTTTCACACCCAAGCCAGTTCTGCGGAATCAGAATCAACGTTGAGTTTAAGCAAGCGAATGAGCCAATTGGAGTAAAGTGCCATGCAGATTTAAATTTTTCCCACTTGTGACGAATGCAGCTATCGATTTTTTTTGCATGCTAGCATTCGTGTCAGTCAGCTGTTGGCTCTCACGCTGGCCGATAGAATCTTCCTGCCTATTCGTGGCAGCCAGCTATAGGCTTTCACTCTGGCCAGTAGGCCAGTAGAAAATGGCCGCAAACTACAGGAAAACTGCCGTAGAAGCATGAAATAATCGATTATTTGCACTATCGATGGGAGTTGGGAAATGCAAAGTCGGTCTTGGCCTTCCCGCTATGTTGGGGCATGTGCATGTAAATTTTGGTGCAAATCCGTCAAAAATTGCGGCCGTGCATTCGTTACACACACACACATCCTGCCTTTTACATATATATATATATATATATATATATATATATATATATATATATATATATATCCGTCGACGTATGAGGGTCAAGCAGCTCAGATCTTAAAACCAGTAGCCAGACATCCTCCACATATCTTGAATCAGTTGTAAAGGTTTGTGCAGAACCAATCACAGTTTGGAAGTGCCAAATAGAGAGAACTGGTGTACAGTATGCCACAAGTTTCCCAAACAACCCTCTGCAGGTTTTGAAATTAAGCGATCCTTCTCCTAGATTGTTCACCACCCAAGGCTGAAGGACCCATTCTGTAAGAGGATAAGATATGTATTCATACTTTTCCCAAGGGTATTAGCACGTAAGCCATTGTTATGTCCTCGACTGTAATTCGAACTCGCCTTTCCGAGCCGCTATCCATAACTAGACCGTGCTTCTATTGCGCCACCGTTACATATATATATGTATATATATGTGTGTGTTTATGTGTGCGTAATGTGTATGTGTAAGTGTGTGTGCGTTCACGTTATACAACGTCCAAGAATAACTTAATTCTGCCCTTCAAAAGTGTAAATTTTAAATTCATTTTTTTCAACTTTGAAAGTGAAGTCTGAAGATCCAGAGAAAAATAAAAACTCTGGTAAAATAAATTATAACTAATGGAACCTTAAAGTGTTTCTGTTTTTCCTTTAAATTAAATTATTGGCTCTGACTTAACATTTAGCTCTCCGGATTTCATCCTCCTTGAGATTTATCCATACGGATTACCAAGATTTTCGTTACTTATGTATGTATGTATGTATGTGTGTGTGTGTGTGTGTGTGTGTGTGTGTGTGTGTGTGTGTGTGTGTGTGTGTGTGTGTGTGTGTTTTCACTTTATACATGGCCAAAAGCAACTCAGTGTGATGTGAGGAGGTTGGTGTATGTGCGATAAGAATAAGCGCTAAGAACCGCAGTTCATGAGGATACGTGGGAAACATAACAGTTAACCCTACACTACTACTGCTGCTACTACAACTAATATTAATATTACTACTACTACTACTACTACTAATAATAATAATAATAATAATAATAATAACAATAACAATATTATATCAAAACTTTAAGGAAGTATACGTGTTAAATTTGATAAATCAATGTGATGAAAATTGTTAAGACGTCCTCTAAGCGATGAACATGAAATATATATAAACATATGAAGTTAGCAAAGAATATGAATACAATTTTAGAAAAAAATATGCGCAAAGATAACGGTTAAATAATTGATAGAGGCAAGATGACCTGGGCATCTCTTTGCGCATCGGCTTCCGAAAGAAGTGCTAAACTCAATTTCACCGTTCATGTCATTTTGTTCCCCAAGTATATTTAATAGACATAACAATATTTACGAAAAAAAGAAAGATATATTACGAACCCTCTCATCTTATTTGCCTTACGTATATATATATATATATATATATATATATATATATATATATATATATATATATATATATATATATATATATATTTGTTTGTGTGTGTGTCCAGGTAATATGAGAACGAATAGATTACAATTCCAACGCTGGTATATTTAATTAAAAAAGAAGGCTCAGTACATAATAGAGCAATTTTATTTATTTTAAGGTATTAAAGCAACATGTAAAAATCGCTACAGAATTGCAGTCATGTTTCGACACATACCAAGGCGTCTCCTCAGTCGACTGTAAATCACTGGCGAGTAATTTGGAAATTAATCGCTCAATCGCCATTAATTTACAATCGCCTGAAAAGACGCATTGGTATGTGTCGAAACACTACTGCAATTATGTAGCGATTTTTATGTTGTTTCAATATATATATATAAGGATTACTACTCAAATACAAAAAATATATATATATATATATATATATATATATATATATATATATATATATAATTTTGTATTTGAGTAGCAATCCTCTTTCAGTAAAGACGACAGATAAGGTACTGCGATTAATCATTTTATTCAATTTTTCTTGTGCTTCTGTAACTGTTTTCCTTTTCTGAACATAAAGTATATAAAAACTGTCCCAATGTTCTCTCTATTTCCGAGTGCTTTGGTCTATTCCATTAGCCATTAACAAGGATGATTTTTATTTTTAACTGAATGCATAGATTTTTTTTTCTTTTTCATCTAGAGTGATGGAATTTTTTTTTTGTTCAATTTTCCAAAAACGGTTAGCGTATTTTGGCCGTGATCACAGTTGATATTATTGAGTGATGTCTTTTTTTTCTTTTTATTATTAATGCTTCTCTTAGCCTTTTCCTCTCTGACCATAGCTGAATTAGTACCCATTTAAATACACCTGTAAACCTATCAAACGGCACGCTTAGGAAATACAATTATAATTGCCTCATCCGCAGGTAAAAATACCCATTTCACATTCATATATATATATATATATATATATATATATATATATATGTGTGTGTGTGTGTGTGTGTGTGTGTGTGTGTGTGTTTTCACCTGTAGAGCTCTCTTCTGATTTGTGGTATATATGTCACCTGAAATACTCAAAAATAAAAATTCGCCATTAATCGCCATCCGTGTCTTCCTTGAACTTGTCTTTTCTCCTCACTAAAGTCTTCTTATTCTCATCCACTCCCAGTAACTCTTTGCGTCTTAGCAGCAATATCGCCTCACTCGGGGTGAAACGATTAAAAAAATAATTAATAAACATCTTGGAAGCAGAGGAAAAATTTTTAAAAAAACAAATTAAAAGTATTTATTTAACAAAATTTTCAACGAGTGATAAGTATCAGTTGCGAGGCATGCATGTCTATTTTTAGGCTCGGTAAATAGGTGAGTGGGTTTAAACGTTTCAAATGGAATTTGCAAAATCCAGACAACAATGCGGTGGAATTTTCGTCTATATCTCTGAGATGAGGTATTATGATTACTTACATTATTTACATTATTCGGACTGTTATCCTCATCTTCATTGCCATATTCACAACGTTTCAGACATTGTACGCTTCGGCCTTCTTCTCAAAGACATATGGCTTAGTGGATAAAGACGTTGGTTAGATCCAGAGTTGTAAGTTCAATACCAGGCAACAGCAGTGGTGAAACAAAACTTGGAGAGTTGAGTTAAAAAGGGAAATAACTGAGACATCCAGAAGAGGCATGACACGTGAACTTAGAACATTCTATCCCGGTGGATGAAATAAAGGGTTCGGTTCGAAATTCCAATCACCCAAAGAAGGTCGGAGCGTGTAACGGCTGTCTCAGCTATTTCCCTTTAACTCAACTCTCCAAATTTTTTGGTTCACTTAAAGGAGGCAGGAACGTGCAACGGTCGAAACAAAAAAGATTTTTAAAAATAGTAAATTTCGAGAAAGCAACACACAAGAAAACACGGAAAAACATTTTTACAAGGAAAAATTCGAAGACCGTTAGAAAATATCACAGACAAGCAGTCATAAACATGCTTACGCAGAGAATACATGAAAAGAGAAACAATACATTTTATATTTCAGCTCAGAACAATAAATCAAAACACATTATCTTCTTTTATATGACATGTGCATTTAGAAACGTGAGTGATCATAGCCCTCCTCATCTTCCTAGTTTAGTAAGCTTTGTTCTTTTATCTTTCCGCTTTGTGCTTGTTTTGTGATCCATGAAGACTCAGTAAAAAACGATGTCTTCTCTATGGATAAAAATATGTGACAATAATGATAATGTCTATAGCAAGTTGGCTTTTTTGTGTTAACAAAAATACAAAGCCCAAGAGCCACTCAAGGTAGATTGTTACTGAACGAGGTTGTTTTGTTAACGTCGGATTAGGAGGTGAGAATTGCTGATTATGAGGATATGTAGGAAAAATAACGTTTGAACCTAGGCTTGAATTTGATCATATAAACTATTAGTCTTAACAGAATTCAGATCCTCTCAGAGAATAAAATAAGTTATAGCGGGTGGCACTGATAACCATCCCAGCGAGAAAACCGTAAATAACTGGCAGTTTGTAGAAGTGGTTTTAACGTCAGATCACAGCATGAAGACGAAAAGGAACAACATTTTAGAAAAAATACTTGTCTTGAGATGAAAATGCTCGGGTTTGCATGGTTACTAAGAAGAAAAGTGCTGACAATTTGAGGAGACTTGCTGTCACGATATATGTAATGTTAGTTACTCTACAGCGATAACGACAAAATATTTCTTGGAGGCATACAAATGTATGAAATGAAAGTAGGAAAAAAAGAAGAAATGCAAGAGGACAAAGTGGGATATGGAAACTCAAGGAAAAGAAAGAAAGAAAGAAAGAAAGAAAGATATAGAATGATAAAGAATGATTAAGAAGAAAGAGGCAAGGGTAAGACATTAAGATAATCATGGAAAGAAAGAAAGAAAGAAAGAAAGAAAGAAAGAAAGAAAGAAAGAAAGAAAGAAAGAAAGAAAATGGTAGAAAAAGAAAGAAAAAATGGTAGTAGAAGAAGACGAAGAAGAAGAAGAAGGCCAGAAGGGGGATGGCTAAAATATAAAGGTGATCAAAAAAAGAAAGAAAGAAAGAAAGAAAATGGTAGAAAAAGAAAGAAAAAATGGTAAAAGAAGAAGAAGAAGAAGAAGGCCAAGGGGGGGATGGGTAAAATATAAAGGTGAAGAAAGAAAGAAAGAAAGAAAGAAAGAAAGAAAGAAAAAGAAAAAGAAAGAAAATGGTAGAAAAAGAAAGAAAAAATGGTAGAAGAAGAAGAAGAAGAAGAAGGCCATGAGGGGGATGGGTAAAATATAAAGGTGATGAAAGAAAGAAAGAAAGAAAGAAAGAAAGAAAGAAAGAAAGAAAGAAAGAAAATGGTAGAAAAAGAAAGAAAAAATGGTAGAAGAAGAAGAAGAAGAAGAAGAAGAAGGCCAGAAGGGGGATGGGTAAAATATAAAGGTGATGAAAGAAAGAAAGAAAGAAAGAAAGAAAGAAAGAAAGAAAGAAAGAAAGAAAATGGTAGAAAAAGAAAGAAAAAATGGTAGTAGAAGAAGACGAAGAAGAAGAAGAGGAAGGCCAGAAGGAGGATGGGTAAAATATAAAGGTGATCAAAGAAAGAAAGAAAGAAAGAAAGAAAGAAAGAAAGAAAATGCTAGAAAAAGAAGAAGAAATGTATGATGAATATGTGAGAGACGTTAAGATAACCATGGGAAAAAAAGGAAGAAAAATCAAGAGGCAATAGAATAAAGAAAAGCAAATACGATTTTTCATCAACTCATATTTATTCTGATTTCAAGAGATCTTTTGCAAAATGCATTCCTTATCGGCAAATATTAGCAAATTCTCTCAGTGCTTTAATGCAAACATTATTTTCTCCTTTACAAAATCTATAACCTTTACATACTTTTTAATCAGCATTGGAACGATAAAGTCAACTTGCACTCTAATTGATTTATGCGAATTAAATTCATTATCAAATTCAATAATTGAGCGAAATTATATGACACTGAATCATGTTAAATATGCGTTTATTGTACTACCAAGTCTTTGTGCAGAGACGTATAGAAATAAACACATATTTAATGCTAGGCACTGTGTCAAACTGAAAATTATCGAATAACCACAAAAATTATTGCATGAATATGCAGTATCTTTTAGTACTCGTCAGTTAATTATGCTACAATCTGTCTGTTATCTATTTATATATCGATCTTAATTGTTTTTATTAGACATTATCAGTCAATATCTACACATTCTGGGATATACAGTGGGCGATGAGTAAATTGTCACCTTTTTAAATTTTTAATTTTGCACATGCGTGTTTTTTTTTTCTTTTTTTTTGTTTGTTTGTTTGTTTGATTGTGTCGACTTCACAGTATAGTAGGGTCAGTTGGGCACCGTCTGTGAGAAAAAGAGGCACCATGACGTAATTCACTCCGCCAGAAATTTGGAAACGGCATGTTGTACTGCTTAGCATTCGCGCCAAAACCTCCAATAGGAACATTCCAGAGTGTCTGGGTGTCAATCTGTGAACAGTGCAGGGAATTCGGAAAGAGTAAGATGAGTCTAATGGTGATTACGAAGATACGGAAACTAGGAAAGCTCACGTCGTTCTGTTAAGAAAAGAACTCTTGAATTTGTTGGTGTGTGTCAGACTCAACATGGAGGCCTACATCAAGTGCCTTGAGTTGGTAGTGCTGTCCTAGTTAAAGAAGGTGACTGCTGGAAAAACCAACGTCTGGCAACAGGTCTCTGCACCATGCCACACAAGCAGGAGAACCCAGTAATGGCTGCCAGACAATCTCTGCGAACACATCACCCCTTACATCTGACCACCTAACTCCCCAGACTGCAACCCCACTTGGTTATTATGTGCGGGGCGCAGTTTAGCAAGAAACCAACAAATCTTTTTGTAACACCAAAGATGAACTGAAAGGAAGATTATGGCGGCATTCACCAACATAAGATAAGAGTTAAGAGACAGTCCATGATAGATGCAGGAGATTCCGAAGTCGTCTGAAGGCCGTCGTTGAAGCAAATGGCGATTTTATTGAATAAAATTACACTTTAGTATTTCAAGATATCTTTGTGTAATGTTGTTAAATATATCTGTTAAAATGAGATGTCAGTGTTATTTTCATTTTTGATTAATTTAGACGACAATTTACAACCCTGCATAATGGGAAAAAAAAGGCCGACAGAATTTGACATTCACATGACATTGAAGGCAAGAAAAGCAGCGGTAATTAGTGTATAGTATAAATTACTGAATACGTTTGTGTGAATAGCTAGCAGCACAGTGACGAAGTGGGATGGTAAAGGATAAAAATTTACTTGGAGTAACAAAAAAACAGGAAGTTGCGGAGAGCTATGTTCAACCATGTCTTAATAAATGAAAAAGAAGTGCTCAGACATAACGAATCAGCGACAAAGGTTCAAACTGATCCTGAGTTTTGATGTTCATTTTAGGTTAATCTTTGCCAGCGTCAAAGAATTTATTTATTCATTATTCTGTCCCAACTCCGGTCATCTTGGACCTTATTTATTCATAACCTGGTTAGAAGAGTTGATACTGGATAAAAATTGGAACATGACTTTTCTCAACTTAGTCTGGTACAAGATTACAAATCTAGAAGCTTACGGACATATCAGATTGAAACACTGGTTCTCCTAAGATCACCGAAGATTAGCAACGTCGAGCCTGGTCGGTAATTAGATGGGTGACCGCTTGGGAATAATAACAGAATGCTGTAAGCTTGGATGAGCGCTGAATTTAATGAATAACGGATCGAAATTGGGAATCGGATAGCCAAGTTCCAATTCCATTTGGGTTCGTTGTATTCCCTTACATTGAAGAAAGTTATGGGTCCACTTTTTCTCCTCCAGCTATGGGTTAATCAGTAGGAGTTGTTTCAGTAAATCATTATTATCTCCAAAAGATTCTTTCACATAATTTTCTGGCTTTTAATAACCTGCAAAATGTTGACAAGCCGTAAAAAACGAATCAAATAAAAAATGAAAATATTGGTGCATCTTGTACAGATCGAATTAATTTGATAGTACTAATGGTCTAGTTGACTAGAAAGCAAATCATAAACTTGCGTACCAATATGTACTCTATACATAAAACAATATACGCTCTATACATAAAACAATATATACGTTATACATAAAACAATATACGCTCTATACATAAAACAATATACGCTCTATACATAAAACAATATATGCTCTATACATAAAACAATATTTACTCTATACATAAAACAATATATACGTTATACATAAAACAATATATACGTTCTATACATAAAACAATATATACGTTATACATAAAACAATATACGCTCTATACATAAAACAATATATGCTCTATACATAAAACAATATTTACTCTATACATAAAACAATATATACGTTATACATAAAACAATATACGCTCTATACATAAAACAGTATACGCTCTATACATAAAACAATATATTCTCTATACATAAAACAATATTTACTCTATACATAAAACAATATATACGTTATACATAAAACAATATACGCTCTATACATAAAACAATATATGCTCTATACATAAAACAATATATGCTCTATGCATAAAACCTTATATAACTGCTAAATTCGTAATATTGATGCTTTTTTGTCCCTTCGGAATTTAGAAAATGATAACTCTCCACAACTTTCTTTTCCTTATTATCTGTAGAATTTCATTGCATTCTTGGTGAAGGTCATGTTGCGGTTTTCCTGTTGCCTTCTCCGCGTCTTTAAATTCAGAGTTTTAATTTTCTCAAAATGAATACCACCTAATGTTAGAGAGCCCAGTTTACCCTGCTATTTAATCCATAGTTAAATGAGTATTTGTTCAAAAGGGAACTCAAAAGCTTAGGGTAGAATTCGAACTCGGTTCGTTGATTCCCCTTCACGAGCCGATAACTAGGGAACAACGATGAGGTTTTGGAGAGGATGCAAACAAGAAGGAAGCTTATACTTAACACCAGGAAGAGGCAGCTGAAATTTCTGGAACACGTAATGAGAAAGGACGGCTTGGAGAATCTGATAGTCACAGGTCGAATAGAGGGAAAGAGAGACAAGGGAAAGCAACGCATGACATACCTAGCGGGCTTAAGCAAGTGGATGACAGGGCCTGGGGGAAGTAGCAAAGTGACAAAGCTTATTGAGAGCTACAAGGGATAGGGGGAAGTGGAGAGCTATGATTACCTACGTCCTGAAGGGACACGGCGCATAATAAGAAAGAATACTCTGCTTTTAACCCACTAGCTGGGGGGGGCTCATGGGACGGATTCGGCCATTCCCAAAAACAATTTGTGCGAAAAAAAAGCCGCCCTGTGTATGACGATAAACTACATCCGCATCCTGGGTAAGACGATAAAGACCTCTGATCAGAAGGTTCTGAGAAGCGTGGAACCACCTCTTAATTGCTGGTGTTCCCAGTTCCACCCTGGCCCGGGGTGGTAGCACATGTTAGGATCCCAGCTATGGGCAAATAGTTAACACCTAAACTGCGTTCAAAACACTATGAAAGTATAAAAATAGATTTTTATAGTAAAAATACCAGCAATACATTTTTGAAGAAAAAATATTACCAGGAATATATTTTTTTGAAAAAATATTACCAGCAAAAAAATCTTGTCAGCATTACGTAACCCTTTGAGGTTGATATGCCGTCAAACAACACAAACAAACGACGCAAAGACGTCGGATTTTATTTTGATCTCAACACGCGCGGATAAACTATATACGAACATCTAATTAAAATTATTAAATGTATTGCTGTATGCACCTTGTGTAGAGATCACACGTTCTCAAACGCTTTGCAAAGAATTGTCCTAGCTAGAAAGCGATATTAAATAAATTTGGCATTTATCATCTAGTTAAAAGCAGCACTTGATTACTCAAGATAGTCATTTCGTCCTTGATTGGGTTAAAATACAATTACACTTTCTTTATTAACATTTCTACATCAATAATGTCGGCTGTTCTTTTTGTTATCTCGTAAGAGAATTATAAAAATTATCTCAGTTGTGTCAAAAGGTCACAGAAAATTAAATTTCATTTAATTTTCTCAGAACAGAAATTATCTTCGAGGAAAAATAACATAATTTTTGTGTTGTGGCTAGTTAGATCAATAAACTATATAAAACGATTATGAGGAAATTATGGAAAGAATTATCAAGTCGCTAATGAAAATCAGAAAGTAATGTGTATATTTTCTTTTACACATATTCTTTATTGTGTGTTTAGCGCTTGTTTAATCAAACTTAATTTTAAGTTAGCTTCGCCTATCGCGTGTTTCACACCGGTCTCTTGAAGAGAAGTAGACGTTTATTCCTTTGCTTCCTGCTTAGTGTTGGGTTTCCGGTCCCTTCTAAAGTCTTTTCATTCACTTTCACTCCAACTAACCAATTGTGACTTAGTGGCTTTATCCCCTTGCTTGGAATGAAATGATTTTTAAAAAAGAACACCGACTTTTACAAATACGTCCAAAGAAGAAAGAGAGAGAGAGAGATTTAGTAATTTTATCTAAGTCTGGTGCGCTAAGTTAACAATAAGGAATTTAGTCATTAACTCGACCTTTCCTAAGCAAATGACTAACCATCGCTTTACGACAAACCTTTAAAAAGTGAAGTTCAATTGGGGAAAACTGGCTTGTAATTTTCAGTACCTCAAAAACGAAGCTAGTAATCATTTCATTGTCGCCGATCAGACTCTGAGTTTTCTCCAGGCACGATGAACGGTGGCCCTCTCAATTAGCCTTTCGGCTTGGAACGTCTGTTGGGAATCAGGTTCACGGTAGACGTCAAGTAGAAATCCTTATGTGCGAGCCCTTGCTTGAGAAGCTCAAAAATTTGGTCGGCGCATTGTATCTCTACGCAAATACTTGACTCCCTTTACTTTCTCAATTTCTAGCCTCAGTAAAGTTCAAATTCGATTATGGGTCATGATAAGTGATGGCCTATTTTCCAACCTACATTCGCTTTCCCACAAATGCAACGTGGCGAGCCTCTCGCAAATATGCCGCTGTTTCCACGGCATATGTTTGAATGGGCTGCAGTCTTTAATTCCGCCTGTTCATACATTTGAAGTAAAAACCCACCATACTACGTCCACAGTGTCAAACTGCCCTCACACACAGGTGCAAGACAACTCAACACCGCCCACTCAACACCGTCCACTCAACACCGTCCACTCAACACCGTCCACTCAACACCGCCGACTGAGCGCCAAGACAACTCAGAACCGAGACAACTCAGCACCAGAAAAACATGACTTTTTACAACCGAATAAAAATAAATTAATAAGGATTAAAACCTCAATTAGTGAATATTTTTCTATCATTTGAAAAGGTATTATGTAATATATGAGCCAATTTTTCTTTTGTTTTTACTTATCTTTAATAAAGTAAATCGTAAATTATTAAATTATTTTCATAAAAATATTTTAGAATGTCGATTTACTTTATTAAAAATAAATTACATTACAATTTACTTTATCTGTCTATATCTCTGAGATGAGGTATTATGATTATTTACATCATTTACATTATTCGGACTGTTATCCTCATCTTCATTGCCATATTCATAACGTTTCGTCGGTTGTACGCTCCGGCTTTCTTTAAGCAAACCAAAAAAATTGGAGTGTTGAGTTAAAGGGAAATAACTGAGACATCCGGAAGAGGCATGGCACGTAGAACTAGAACAATCTATCCCCTCCGGTGGACGAAATAAAGGATTCAGTTCGAAATTTCAATCATCTGATGAAGGCCGTTGTGAATAGTGCAATGAAGATGAGGATAACAGTCCGAATAATGTAACTAATGTAAATACGAATTACTTTATTAAAAATAATTAAAAACAAAACCTCCTTCATTTCGTTTTGTATTTTTCGATTTAATTTATTAACATATAATTAAAAACGCGTGTGTTTTCTTGAATTATTTTTTATATGTCAATTTACTTTATTTCTTTATGATTGACTGTTACGCTATTAGGTTTATAAACAATAAAATGAGGCGTTTAAAAAAAAGCATAATTTGCCAATGCCATCTGAAGAAAGCTTACTCCTATTTTTGAATATCATGTTACACACGTTCAATTTTTTTTTAATTTGTGCACTGAGCACTTTTTAAAAATATCCATTAGCTAGTCTGACATTATTCCTACCAACAATTTTATTATATAAATTGTGTGTATGTATCTATGTGTATATATATATGTGTATGTATGTGTATATATATATGTGTATGTATGTATATATATATATATATATTGTGTGTATGTATGTATGTGTATATATATATATGTGTATGTATGTGTATATATATGTGTATGTATGTGTATATATATATATGTATATATATATATATATATATATATATATATATATATATATATATTGTGTATGTATGTATGTATGTGTATATATATGTGTATGCATGTATATATGTGTGTATGTATGTGCATATATATGTGTATGTGTGTGTATATATATATATGTGTATGTATATATATATTGTGTGTATGTATGTATGTGTATATATATGTGTATGTATCTGTATATATATATATGTATATGTATGTGTATATATACATGTGTATGTATATATATATATATGTATATATTGTGTATGTATGTATGTGTATATATGTGTGTATGTATGTATATATATATTGTGTGTATGTATGTATGTGTATATATATATATATAT